GCGATCCCCCCGATAGGCGATTGGTGTCTGGCTTTGCCTCCCGCAAGGATTTAATTACCGCGACAGCTGCTTCGCAATCTGTCTGAACCCATCGATTGAGGAGTTAAAATAACGAGGTCCGAAAAAAAAAGGGGTCCAACATGTCGTCGTCCGGATCTGGCTGGATTGGCCGCTCCAGCAGCGGCAATGCCAACATGCGAGGCCTGGTGCAGTTCATTGCCGACTTGCGAAACGCGCGTGCCCGTGAGCTGGAGGAGAAGCGCATCAACAAGGAGCTGGCCAACATCCGCCAAAAGTTCAAGGACGGCAACCTCAGCGGCTACCACAAGAAGAAGTATGTCTGCAAGCTGCTATACATCTACATCCTGGGGTGGAATGTCGATTTTGGCCACCTCGAGGCTGTCAATCTGATTTCCGCCAACAAATACTCGGAGAAGCAGATTGGCTACCTGGCCATGACGCTGTTCCTCCACGAGAAGCACGAGCTGCTCCACCTTGTCGTCAACAGCATTCGCAAGGATCTTCTCGACCATAATGAGCTCTTCAACTGTCTCGCTCTGCATGCCATTGCCAACGTCGGAGGTCGCGAAATGGGAGAGGCTCTCAGCGGAGAAGTACACCGGCTGCTCATCTCGCCGTAAGTTCCAACGCACGCGCACTCGTTTTTGGCAGTGGAAAGGGTCGTCTGGAAAACTCGAGGATGGAAAAGCTGACTAGTGAATACAATTTAGGACTTCCAAGTCGTTTGTCAAGAAAAAGGCCGCTCTCACCTTGCTGCGACTGTACCGAAAGCACCGGGACATTGTACAGCCTCAGTGGGCGGAACGAATCATCCATCTTATGGATGACGACGATCTGGGCGTTGCGCTGTCCATTACCTCTCTTGTCATGACTCTGGCTCAGGACGACTTGGAACAGTACAAGGGAGCCTACTCCAAAGCTGCAGCTAGACTCAAGCGCATCCTGATTGACGGCGAGTACACTACCGATTATCTGTATTACAAGGTCCCGTGCCCCTGGCTTCAAGTCAAGCTTCTGCGGCTTCTGCAGTACTTTCCTCCTTCAGGTACGTTGATGCCCCCTCAAGCTGTGCGCAGTGAACATACTGAATGCTGACGGTGGTTGTGCAGAGGATACGCACGTGCGCGAGCTGATTCGGGAGTCTCTGCAAAAGATTCTCAACCTCGCCCTGGAATCGAGCAAGAATGTGCAGCAGAACAACGCCCAAAACGCAGTCCTCTTTGAGGCCATCAATCTCATCATCCATTTGGACACGGAACAGGACTTGATGAAGCAAATCTCCTCTCGCCTGGGACGGTTCATCCAGAGCAGAGAGACGAATGTTCGATATCTAGGTCTCGAGGCCATGACGCACCTTGCCGCAAGGTCTGAAAATCTCATACCGATTAAGCAGCACCAGGACATTATTCTCAGCTCTCTCAAGGACCGTGACATTAGCGTTCGCAGAAAGGGTCTTGATCTTCTCTACAGCATGTGCGACTCCACGAATGCCCAGGTCGTTGTTGGCGAACTTTTGCAGTTCCTCCAGAATGCAGACTTTGCCATCCGTGAGGAGATGGTTCTTAAGATTGCCATTCTTACGGAAAAGTATGCCACTGACGTCCAGTGGTATGTCGACATATCCCTGCGGTTGATTGCCATGGCTGGTGATCATGTTAGCGATGAAGTGTGGCAGCGAGTGATTCAAATTGTCACCAACAACGAGGAGCTCCAGGTTTATGCCGCCCAGACTGCTCTTCAGCACATCAGAGCCGACATCTGCCACGAGACGCTGGTCAAGATTGGCGCCTACATTCTCGGAGAGTTTGGCCATCTCATTGCGGATCAGCAGCGGTGCAGCCCCATTGAGCAGTTCCTGGCTCTGCAGAGAAAGCTGTCGGGATGTTCATCGAGCACACGCGCCATGATTCTTTCCTGCTTCATCAAATTCGTCAACTTGTTCCCGGAAATCAAGCCTCAGCTTGTTCATGTTTTCGAAATCTACAGCCACACTCTGGATTCCGAACTGCAGCAGCGAGCCTGTGAGTATCTGAGCCTGGCGACGTTGCCGACAGATGATCTTCTCCGAACAATGTGTGACGAGATGCCACCATTCCCCGAGCGAGAATCGGCTCTGCTGTCTCGCCTGCACCAAAAGCACGCCGGCACCAGCGACCGACGGACGTGGGTTGTCGGTGGCAAGTCTGCCAATACTGAAGCGGAGCTCAACATGGCTAAACCTGGCGGTCTTAAGAGGACATTTAGTTCTGCTGTTCCGCTCAACGGGAACAAGGCCAATGGTGTCAACGGTAGCCATGCAAACGGCGCCTCTGATCTTGCCGGTCTGGACATGAGCTCGCCGACAAGCGAGCAAAAGCCGACAAAGGCACCGAACCTGGCCAGCGCTGCACATCTGTCTCCCGGGTGGGAAAAGGGCTTCAACAGGCTCCTGCTCAAGGCTGAGGGTGTCTTGTACGAAGACGCCCAGATCCAGATTGGCGTCCGGTCTGAGTACCGTGGACAGATGGCCTGCATCATTGGGTATTTCAGAAACAAGAATCCGGGAACCATTACCTCCTTCACCACGACGTTGGACTTGGATGAGAGCGAAAAGGGCAAACTCACCTGGGATGTAAAGGGTCTTCCCGAGAGCACGCTCGGTCAAGGGTCACAGACACAACAGGTCATCATGTTTGAGGCCAAGAAGGTGTTTGAAAAGAGCCCGACAATGCGAGTCAGCTATTTGGCTGGTGCGCTGCAGGCACTCACGCTGAAGCTCCCTGTCACCATTCACAAGTTCATGGACCCCGCGGAGCTTTCAGCTGAGGATTTCTTCAAGCGGTGGAAGCAGATCGGCGGCGGTTCCCGAGAGGCTCAAGGCATCTTTGGCCTCTCCGGTGGCAAGAGCAGCGCCAGGGAACTTACTGAGAGGTTCGTGTCATCGACGGTTGAGGGCTTTAGATGGCGCCTCCTTGACATGGTTGACCCCAACCCCAAGAACGTTGTCGGCGCCAGCGTGCTTCATACCTCGGAAGGCGGCAAGTTTGGCTGCCTTATGCGGCTGGAGCCCAATTACGGCACTCAAGTAAGTTTCTCCCCCCCCCGGTCCATTTTAGAGATTTCTTCGACATGATGCTTTTGCAAAAATCAAAGTATTTGCTACTTCAGAACCTGCGGGTCATGAGACAAACCTATTCACCTTTGCCCTGATCGTCAATTATCATTATTTCTCCTTTGTATATGGCATGACATAAAAAAATGAACGTGCTGCTAACACGGCGCTATTAGATGATTCGATTAACGATCCGAGCCACGGATGAGTCGGTGCCCCTGGTTCTTCTTAAGCTCATGCAAGAGCGGCTCTCCGTCGGAGTGTCGACGTTGCCTGAGAGACACGAGCCTCCAACACGACAAGACATATCTGACGCTTTTGGGAGTGTAATGGTTAACTAATTATTATTATTATTGTTCTTTTTCTTTTTCGAACCAAGCTTGGTTTCTTTATTTTTTGGAATATGTGACAATAACTACAACTACATGACTGACTAGGAAATGTCTTGGCACGCATGGAAGCATATTGGCGTTTGGGGGAGAAGCATGATGATACTAAGTGCCTTGGACGAAGATTTTTGGAGTCGATGAAGGGGCGAGATTGAGGGCATTTATTCTCTGTATGTAGTTTAGTTTTTTGCCCCTATGAAAGCGGCTGTTTTTCTTTTTTTTTAACCACCCCACTGTTGTAACGTATAGTGTTTATGAAAAGGGGACCTTCTTGTTGATACCAACTTTTTTCTCATATAATATGTGCTTGCTGAGTTCTCTGCGGTCGATTATAGTTTCAAATAAGTCACTCGATAGCATTTATTGAAATGGCCTCCTCTTGTGGTTGGTGTCGTGTTATGTGCATTCGATTTATATAAGTATTCTTTCCTTTTCTTTCAATTTGTATCTTACGGTTTCTACACTTTTATCTTGGCATCTATTCTTTCCTTTTCTTTCAATTTGTATCTTACGGTTTCTACACTTTTATCTTGGCATCTGCCCTGGCCGGCCTCTGTCCAAAGATGGTGCTGCCCACTCTCACTTCACTGCTTCCCTGAGCAATGGCTCCCTCGAAATCCTCGCTCATGCCCATGCTCAACTCCAAGGTATCGGGACCCAGGCCGAGTTCGCGGGCCACCAAATCCCTCTGCGCCCTCAGAGTCTCAAAGTCCTCGTTTTCATTGTCCGGAGTAGTGGCCTTGCTGCGGGCGATGGCGCCAATGGTCATGAGGCCGAGCAAGTTGAGCCCGGGGCAAGACTGGACGATTTCGCGGCACAGAGAAACGGTTTCCTCTCCCGGAGCACAGCCCGATTTTCCCTCCTCGCCCGAGGTGTTGACCTGGACATGGACGTTGAGCTTCCCGAGGGCGGGATTGGCGGCGCGGGCGGAGCTGAGCAGCTGGGCCTTTTTCAGCGTGTCGACGCTGGAGACGCAGAAGAGGTTGGGGATCTTGGCCAGGTTCTTGCAGTGGCCGGACTGCAGGCCGCCGATGAAGTGCCAGTGGATGGACCGGGGCAGCAGCTCTGCCTTCTGGGCGAGTTCCTGGGCGTAGTTTTCGCCAAAGTGGGTGTGAGAGGCGGGAGCTTGGTGGAGGGCGAGGATGTCGTTTGCAGGCTTTAGCTTTGAGACGGCGACGAGACGGACCTTGAGATTTTTGGAGCCCTTTAGCATATATATCTTTGCCTGAGAGAGCGTGTATATAAAAGAAGAGTAAAAATCATGTTCATCAACCATTTCTAGTGCTTACATTTCGGCCGTGAGCAGCTGCTACGATGCTTTCCTTGACGGCGCTGAGCTGGGAGATGAGAGCTTCAGCTCTGGTGGGGTCGATTCGCATTTCTTCAGTAGCCTCGTCACTCATTTTAACACACCACGGGGGTTTGAATAACTTAAAAAAAATATATGAAAAAATAAGTTAAAAAAAAAAAAAAAAAAAACTAGTCAATGGGGTTGTGAAATGGGGGAGATGGATGAAAAGAAGTAATGAAAGAATGACACACCGGTGAAGAGGTGTGGCTGAGATCGGCTTATTATCGGCTGCTTCGGCGGGATTCTAGCTTCAATCCGGTAGGCCTTCCGAACAGTGACCTCAATACAGTATCTGTCTCTTCCCGATATTAACGCCGGAGCGGATTAGCTGAGTGAGCTGCAATTCATGAAGTCGAATTGATCTTTATTATTCAATCACATGTCGTGGCTTCTTCTTCCTTCATCTCTTTTCTTTCCTTGATTCCTCAAAATAGACAATGGCAACCGACGTCAAACAAGCGCAGGACGGCAGCTCCAAAAAGCTGGCCTTTGAGCCCAAGTCACAGCACACATCAGATGAATTCTTACAAGACTTTCTCAGCCCTTCCTTCGACCCAGTCTCATACATCAACGCCAGCTTACCGCCGCTGGCTCAGAAATTACCCATACCCTCGAATCACAATGCGGTGCCCCTTGCGGAACTCGCCACGCAGGCCCAGACGCTGCTGTCGCAGCTGGATGCTCACACAACGAGGCTGTCGGACACGCTGACGCAGATCACCGACGACATCCTCAGGAGCGGGAGCAGGATGTCGTACGAGGTGGAGATGCTGCGAGGCGAGGCGCTGAGTCTGGAGGAGCTGCTGTTTGAGAAGCTGGCTGACCAGATCAGCATGTTTGTGCCGGGAGGCTTGCAAAAGGAGGGCGAGGTTAAGGACGACGAGGAGAAGCCAAAGGAAAAGAAGAAGCCTGTGGAAGATGTCGGCGAGGAATCTGAGGCGAAAGCAGTCGCAAAACCCGAGGCTCAAGCTGCTGGAGCTGGAGGATCGGAGCCCGAGTCTATCAAGCAGCTGCGGACGCTTACCCTCGTCCGTGAACGCCTGGATTCCGTCATCAAGATATTTGGCGACGCTATGGAGTTTACCTTTCCGCCATCAGAAGTGTCCGTCAGTTCAGGGTTCTTGTCCGTGTCAGCACCAGAGCCTGGATCAGACCTGCAGAGCAGTGAGGAGAAGGGCCAGCAAATTCTCAAGAAGCTACGGGACGAGATATCAACCTTGCTGAACAACAAGCAAGACCCCGTTTCAGGAATTGAGAAGGCAGCGGAGAGAATCGAGCAGCTTAAGGAATTGACGACGGTGTGGACTGGCACGGCAGAGGAGAGGGGCAGGACCAAGTTTATCGAGAGCCTGGCCAAGATGGTGGAGGACAGACACCGCGAACTACTAAAGGAGCTTGATACGAAGAAGAGCGAGGCTATTACGGCGAGGCATGAAAGGGGCAGTGGCAGTAGTGTGACTGCGAGAGACGTTGCCATGGCAGAGGAGGCAAAGGCGCTGCCGGGAGGGTTTGGGCTGATGAGCCAGCTGCAGAAACTGCGCGGTGGCTTGTGAGAAGACGGAAGGTGATTAATCCACACATGACTTGCGTATACATTGATGTTTTTACTCAGGCAAGTATTGAGGAATCGAGGTTGGAGATGAGAGACGTTACATGAGATGAATATGGATATGGACAAGGTTTCTTAGACCGCGGCGAGATGGGATGAGTACAGGCCTCGACCACGATTTCGTACCAATACAGCTCCTTCAAAGAGCAAATTAATAATCACACAAACACACAAACATTGAATCATCATCATTGTGAATTCTAATTATAATTTTCCTGGCACAAAACTATACCAGAGTCGCTGTGGTTACCATTGCCGGCTTCTTCCCCCATGACGCCGGGAAAGGCAACGGAAAACCCGAGTGCTTCCATATATGGCATAGCGCCCATTAGACGTGCGCCAGTTCGCAGTCCCTAGCAGTGCACGTAACACTAGCCGTGGTACACGCCAGTACAGAGTACCTCAAAACGCGGCATGGCAAGCGAGAAAGCAAAGGTACAAGACACTCGCAGCGACAATGCGTTGCCGGGCGAGCCAATCACAGGCCGTTTGTAACTGTCCCGATCTGCGGGCGGTGAAGCTGCCCGAAATGGTCATGCAGGTGCTTTTTTCGGCGCCAGAAAGAGAAACTGGAGCTGGAGAGCAGGGCCACGCAGCAGAATGACGGAGAGGGCAAAATCACGCAGGAATTCCAGCAGAATGGGCGTGGGAAGAGTTGGACGTAGAAATGGATTAATGAATGATTACGTGAATACTTTTTTGTCTATTTGTTTGTTTGTTTTCAAATGCCTCGGATCCAGTGTAAAAAGCTTGAGTCCGGCAGAATCCCCATTAGAATAGGTTCAATGCTGAGTTCAATCTGAGGCGCCTCTGAACTGGGCCGCTGAGAAAATCCACATAAAAAGGCGGCAGAACCACACCACTCACTAACACCCCCGGGACTTAGACGCAAGACCCTAGCCAGCCAGCCTTTTGCTCCGAAACCTCCAAGCAACCAGTCGACTTGCATGCTTGTGCTTGTACGCAAAACCTCTGCTCGCGGCTATTCTCACTCGAGCTGTCCTTGCCTTGCCCTCTGCAGACTGCCTTGTTATTCGCCATTTGCTGCCAAGCAGTCACAGACACAATCTCCCAGGCGACAGCACAACCACTCGCCGTCTTCCTCTCTCTCAGCCTCTCGCTCTGCTCCCTGATCCGCCATGGAGGCGAGCGAAGGAATCGCCTCCGCTGTGGGCGTCAAGCTGGATCGGCCTTCTCCAGCCGCGGCCTCGCAATCCAAGCGTGACCGCAAGCGCCAGGCTCTGGTCGAGCGGCTGTCTGCCATGAACGACAAGCTGCAGCGCGACCGAGACCTGACGTACCGCGACCAGCTCCAGAAAATCCAGTACGAGGTCGGCCTGGTCCAGCGCTTCGACCCGTACGATTCCAACGCACTCGAGAAGGCGGCCGAGCTGCTTCAGGAACACAGACAGGCCCAGGGGCCGCCAGTGCTTGCCGATGGCGCCCGGAGCCTCATGGACATGGCGGGAATCCGCTTCCCAGACTTCATTGACGAGGTCGAGGATCTAATTGAGATTCGCGATTTCCAGCTTGTGCAGTCCAAGGTAAGAGCACCAAGAATCACACGGCAGATACACCACACAGTAGAGAGAGGAAGCAGCACATGGCTGTTTTTTCCTTGTCTCTCCCTCTCTCTCCTAACCTTTTTTCTACCGTATCTTTTGGGCCCTGCCCTGCATCATGGCGTCACTTATAACCGTTGGCTAACACATGTCGGCCTTCCCAAACAGAATGAATACGAACGCAAGGTGCAAGAATACAAGAACACGCACGCGTACAAGGTCGAGACGGCCAAGCGGGAGCACCGAGCTCTGACCGAGACGCTCCGCGATCGGCTGATCAACAGCCTCACACAAAAGAAGAACCGCCTCAACCGAGAAAAGGAAGTGCTGGAGATTAACGACTCCAACGCCCTGCTGCTCAATCCGAACCAATTCAGCCTGACCAACCCCGCTAGCCCCGGCGGTGCCCATGGCAAGCGGGCGACTCGCCTGCGCAAAGATGCCGAAGATCTCCAAGTCTACGCCGATGGCAAGAAGCGCAAGCGCAACCAGGGTGAGGACGACGGGTCGCCAGTGCCTTCGCGGCGGGCTCTCGATCCCAACAGCACGACGCCTCTGTGGCAGTCGGAAAAGGCCCGCGCCGCTGCCAAGCAGAACGGCCCCGTCTACAGCATCGACAAGCTCTTCACTGACAAGGAGCTGTCACTTCACTACAACACGGCCGCCCTGGCTGCTCACCAGTACGTTCTGCGCAACCGCGTCAACGGCACTGCCTCTTCTCCCGACGGCAGCGACTCGGGCAACGGCGACAGCAACGACAATGACAAGGAGGACGCCGATTCACAGCCGTCTGCCGCCCCCATGATGGAGCGCCAGGTCTCGCATGCAACTCGCAGCACTAGAGGTGGCGCGAACCAGAACTTCTTGGACGACAAGATCCTGGGCATCGAGGGCATTGCTAACTTTGAGCTCCCGGCCAACCTGGATCTGATCCACGCCCAGGAGCCGCCCAAGATGCCGCCTCCGGTGCCGCAGCAGTACCTCAAGCCGTACCCGAGGTCTGCCGACCAAAACTTCCCAGTGCCTCTGTCTCAGGATGACATTGCCTCTGATCTCTCCGTCATGGGCTTCTTCAAGCAGTATGATCAGAGCCACAAGCCCGGCGCCCACCTCGATGCGCCCAGCGGCCTGCGAAGGATCCTCGAGGCTGTGGCCGTCCCATACCACCAGGGTCGATACGTTGCCTTTACCAGTGCTGCTCGCGACGACCCAGAGTACCTCCGCGATGCTCTCGGCATCCCCTCAAGCAATATCCGCGATCAGCCCAGCCCAATCCATGCCGGCCTCTCCTTGGCTGCTCTATCGTCGGCAGCCGCAGTACCAATGAGCCGGCAGAGCAGTGCTCAAGGCGGCGGCGTTGCCATGAGCCGCCAGGGCACGAGCGGTAGTGGTCGTGGGAAAGGTCGCCGAGGCTGAACCCAAGCCCATTCATTCATGGCCATTGGATTTGATTGAATTGAGCCGCATGCACACTGCCTCTAGCAAAAAGGCAGACGATTACAAAAGTCACATTTTGAGAGGCAAACAAAAACGGGAAAAGAGTAAAGGAATATGTGCATTTCACGGCATGGCGAAGCGACGGCTGGCGTCACGGGGTATTTTCTCTTTTTTATAACTCGACCTATCTATATTTCGTCCCTCTTGGAAGGGGGGTTTTGGGGAACAGCATCTGTTGTGTGTTTCGTCTTTTTTTTTCTCTCTCTCTCTCTTTCCTTTCACTCCCATACCTAAAGTTTCTTCCTGTTGTTTGTATTCCAATTCCAAATTTCATTTTCATCTTGCTTTTTTGATGGTCCTGCTGCTGCTACTGTTTTGATGTGTTTACTTGATTTTTGCGGCTAGTCCCAGCTGCTCTGCGGTATCAAAGAGGGATGGTATCTGGATTTCTTTTTCTTATTCTATTTCCCCCCTTTTCTTTCTATCTCAAGGTTTCTGGTTTCATACACGATGATTCTTCTTTTTCAACCTTTCTTCCTTTTGTTTCTGTATGGTGGCGAGGGAGGGTTGGGTCAGTAGGGGCCTGCTGTTCCTATACAGTAATGCTTAGATTGGGTTGGGGATGGAGACGGCCTTTTGAGAAGAAACTAAGGGGGTGGACCGAAAGTGAGGAATGCTTTCTATTTTCTTCTTTTCTTTCACTTCCTGTCCTTCTTTCTGCTCCTTTTTCTTTCTTTTTTTGCTTTATGGGCTTGGATGGCCTCTTATTATGGATCAATGCTGAAGTCACTGTCGGCGGCACAGGTAGTCCCAGAGGCAGAGACGTGAAATAAAAGGGAAATGAATGTTTGTTATTACATGTACGCAATCTTTGTCTCATCTGTGCAACGCTAATATGTCCAAACACAAAAGAAATAAGTGACACCATCTACCATGCACACATTCTAGCCCAAAAACAAGAAACTTCTTCATACAATCATGTCCCCCTTAGTTACCAAAAACTAAAGCGCGGACCTCAATACTCTCTCGGCCCTCAGCATCAACCCTCGTTCTGGGATCAGCAAAGGCAGTGTGAGGCACCCGTCCGCCAATGCCAGAGCCAGGCTTCAGGGACTCGCTGTCGAAACACTCAATCAGCAGACGCTCATCGCCGGTCATGCCACTAGCATAGTACCACTTCTGACCGGGGTTGTAGTTGATGGCAGCGGTCTCGCCAACGTAGCCGTCCGAGTAGCGGTGCGAGATGGGGATGACGTCCTTCTCCTCGAGGGTGGATGTGGACGCCACGGCAAGGGGGTTAGCCTCGACGGGGTTCTTGTTCAGAGGTCGCCAGACGTTGACGATGCGGTAGCGGCGCTTGAGCAGGGCCTCAGCCTCGTCGGGGAAGTAGCGGCGCACGCGCTTCTCGACGGAGGCGGCAGTCTGGTCGATGTGGACACGCAGGACGGGAGTGCGGTGGGCATCTGGGTTGGAGCGGCGGATGGTGTGATCGAAGATGTAGATCTTGTCCGCGCCGGGGATGTTGTCTAGCAGCAGCTTCTCGACCTCGGGGTAGTACTTCTTCTGGATGGAGACGTCATCGACGAACTCTTCCTCTGCGGAGTCGGGGACGCCCTGGATGAGCTGGAAGGCGTCGCGGTCGAGGGTGAAGTCGGCCTCGTTGCCGCGGATGTCATGGATGACGACGTCGTGGAAGTCGTCGCCGTAGTTGCGGCGGGCGAGGTCCTTGGGGTGGTCGTCGCCGACGAGGTTGTAGGGCGCCGAGCCGTCGACGGGGGCGGTGTAGTAGTTGAGGTTGGCGGTGACGTCGCCGCGGGGGATGCTGGAGATGACGGCCATGGCTTTCTGCTGTTTTGGGAATGTGGTGATGGGTGTTTTGGTGTTTAGTAAACTTGTTTGGCGGGGTATGTGGGATATCTTTTTGTAGATTGTACTGTAGATGTGGTGTAATAGAAAGGGTATATTTATAATTAATTGAATTGGCTGTTCAATGCCTACACTGAGATGAGATGATTCTGATATCGAAATTCCAAACCCACAAGACATCAGCATCTCATACAATATATATACTCGACGCCATCATGCTCGATTTCAAATCCAACAACGGCCATCCTGCTGAGTGGCTCGACTTCGCTGCGAGCACGTCACAGCAACCCCCACCGATTCGCTGGAAGCCATTTGTAAGGCGCCCGGCTTACTAAACGTCTGTGCCGAAACGGGAACAATTTCCTCATGGGAAGCGTCGCAAGGCGTAGTGAAGATCCAGTTTTTTGTCTGCTGGTGCTTGCTTGGTGCACCAATTGCCGAATTTAGCCGCTGTTCTACGCTGTGTTCGGTGGAGCTGCCAGCGGGGACGCAAAAGCCTAATCCAGCGGGCGTTAGTAATGCGAAGTTTGGAATTTGTGGGATCAGCCTCGGGATGGTTCAGGATTTTGGTGGGAGATGGCGTTGGTGATCAAACGGGAAATGTTGTCCACGAGGTCCTTGCCGTCACCTCGGTAAATCTGACTCTGGGCTTGCAGAATGAGTAATTCTTAGTACCCAGTAGGGGGTATCTAAGCAACTAAGGTACCTATGCAAACGCTATCTTGGTGAAGAACTCGATGGATTCTTCTGATATCTGCTCCCCCACTTCTCTCGATGGCGTTTCGTACTTCTTCTGTTCTTTTGCCGCTTGAATCCGAGATGATCTGATCTGATCGAAAACAAGATTTTTCTTCTTCTTTCTTTCCTTTTTCTCATTTCCGCGCAAGATGTCGTGATTTGCCCTTTAGGGTAGCAAGGTACGTAAGCGAGATATCCGAGCCAGATGATCTGGATTTGCCCCCGGATAGATTCCATATCACTTTAGGGCATCAGCGGCTCCCCCGTACCTGCTGCTAGTATTACTCCGTACCAGCATCTACGGTACATACAGTAGCTGTCCAGGGCGGAGAAATCCCGGGTTCCGTCTTACTGTTTGCGTCATCGTCGATAGCAGGTGAAGCCGCGTTAAGCATTCCATCAATTTCTTCCACTGTTTTCACTTCTGCTTCTTCTTCTTCTACAGCTGCTGCTTGCAACTTGTGTGAAGTCTTCACACATGCTCCAACTGCTGTTCCCTCACCCGCTAGCTGCAACAAATTAAACACGAGAAACAAAAAAAAGGAGAAGCTCTCGTTCAAGAAAATCTCTGCCCTGTCATTGGCCACTCGGACGGGATGTTGTGCATGGCCCCCCTTCAACTTCCTCCAGTCGACTTGCGTCTCATGATTGGACCAGATCACCAAAAATGCCAAGGGGTTGCTTCGCTCATCCACGAGGGGAAATGAAACGGCCAGCTAGCAAGCCTCTTGTTCCTCTTACCGACCCAGATGCGAGACAGGACTGCTGCAAGCTGACTTGGGAGTATTTCAGCCCTTTCGTTCCGACGGTATAGCGCGGGCTTTTAGTGCGTGCAACGTGCGCGAGGGCAAATGTTCGCACATTGCAGAGGAGTCCATATCGTCGCCGACACGGCGGAATTGTTGGTGGCAGCACATCTGGCGGCGCCAGAGTTGTTTGCTGAATTAACCTTCAATTGACTTGATGCTATCCACTGCCAAGGTGCCATCACTGGTACTATATCGCTATTAGGCAGTCTTGGGATTATATTATGTGCAGACCACTTACCAAGGCCAACACACTTGTGCATGTGCTAGTACGACGAGTAATACTATGCAGACGCATCGGACATTAGCCCGCTACTAAACCTACCTGCAGGCGCACGCCAAAATCAAATCAAACCAAAGCAAAGACTGTCAAATTACCGCCATCTCAGCAAGGAACACGGCAATCACAGCTACGTGGGATCGCCTCCCTGGCCGCAGCTCAACCGCTTCATTAGCACGCATGTGCTATATTTAGCCCTGCGCACTGTCGCCGGCGGGTGCCGCTGCGCCAATGATTTCAGCCACGGCAAGGCGACTAGCGAGCCACGCTCCTCGCCGCGAAACGTCATGTTTGCACTTGGGCTTTCGCTCCAACCCTGCTCTCGCTTGAATCGAACCGAATCGATGCCCTCGAGAGTCCGCGACAAATTGGCCCTTGATTGACCGCCAGCCGCCCGCATAAATCGCCGCTGTTGCTGTTGCTGTGCCTTGACTGACGCTGATGCGTCGCTGCCGGGAAGCTGCACCATGTCCTAGCGCCTTGCCCGTCATCAAGTAGCCGACTGACTGCGGGCGCGTCTGAACGTACGAACGAAAATCGCCGACAGGGAGACGACCAAGCAGCGAGAAGGGGGAGACAAGAGGCGACAGGCGACAAGCAGAGGGAGACGGAGAGACGGAGAGGACGCAGAGGGGGAGGCATTGCGGCGGCGGCAGAGAAAGACATGAAAGCCCAGCAAGGCGTCTTGCAACAATGTCCTCTCCGCAAGCCGTGGCGACGCAGACCAACATGGCTGTCTCAAACCCGCGCCCCTTGGTCCAACGGTCTGCCCTGCCCGATCCCAACGTGACGCCCGACACCATCGAGGACGCCTTTGTGCGCTTCATCTTTTACTGCAATCCCGCGCTGCCACTGGACGCGGATACCGAGAGTCTCCGAGAGGCCTTTGCGAACCCGCCCAAGAGTGGCGGCAAGAGCTTCAGCCCCTTTCTCATCTTCGACCTGGTCCAGAGATTCTACCGCAAGGAGATCAAGACTTGGACCGAGCTGACCACCAGACTCGGCGTCGAGCCACCGGATCTGTCCAAGGACGAAAGCGCCCAAAAGGTCGCCCAGTATGGCGTCCGTTTAAAGGTATGTGCGGCGCTCGCGGCGGCTTGTGCGCTCCTCCTTGTCCTTTCCACGCTGCCGTCTCGTTAGTCAATGATGGCGAGCTGCTAACGTGCTGTAGAAATGGATGAATTCTATGCATGTCAAGGCCTTTTTCGAATACCTCATGGGCATTAGCAATGATTACTGGACCAATGTACCAGATGACCCAAACCCCACCGGGCAGCCCGTTCGTGATGGCGTCGCTATCGAGGACGACATGGCCCTAAGGGCTCTTTTACCTCATATTCGCCCCAAGAGGGGTCGTAAGAGGCCAGAGGCCGACGACAGTATCGGCTCTCCTGTGGCTCAGCGCCAGCGCCTATCGCCTCCCTCTGCAATCGATGGTCCCCGAGCGACGTGGTCGGCTCACCCAGATGCACGAGCCCAGGGCTTGCCTATAGATCCCTCAAGGCCTGGCGCCGTAGCCGCTTGGGGCTTCAACGACTCCGTGCAGACCCCGCTTTCTCGATATCCCAATTCTGCCATAACACCCTCGACCAGGAGCTCCTTTTGGGACGATGCGTTGGAGCCCCGATCCGCCATCACCCCTTCGAAGCCCAAGCTTTCTACCCACAGACGGGGACCGAAGAACGTATCCTCGGCGTGGAAACCTGGAGGAGCTGATGCCAGCGTCAAACCAAGGGGAAGGCCCCCGATCAACCGTACACCTGTTGAGCCTTCTCCTCCCAACCCTCCGCCCATGACATCGTGGGCTCCGACTCCCGACAGCAACCCATCCGATGCTCCTGTAGCCGTTGTGCCCAAGGATCCCATACCAATGGCTCCCGATGCCGCTCAGATGCACCCGCAGATTCGCAACCAAGTTGTTGCCGCGCGAGTGGACGCCATCGCATCAGTACAGGCGCAGGCACCGACGCCGTCACAGGTACACATCATTGCACCTCCTGCATCTTCTCATCTCCCCGTGGCCGGCATGGGCATCAACCCACTCGACAATGCCAGACCTACTCGGCCTTCTATTTCTCTGCAGGTTCCCGAGCGGCAGGGAGGCACAGTTCGTCTGGCAACACCACCGCTGCCACCACCACTCCCCCCACCGCTGCCCATGGTCCCAGTCAATGACCTGCCGGCAAACGATCTTCCGGCGCTTCAAGGAATTACCGGCCAGGCACCACCTGCACCGCAGGCTAATGGGTGGGATCCGTTCTCACAGCCGCCGGTGGCGGGAGTGTATGAGGCCAACGCCGTTCCGCCCTCTGCTGGGGCTACTAGCCAAGCTGGATCGACATCCAACAGGGATGTGCCTGAGTATTTCTTTGAGGATTTAGACGACCGTACCAATGTAGACGGGCTCATATCCTACTTCACTCATGTGCTGCACAACTCGGACTGGGTGGACCCCCAGGGCAACCAGCAAGAGATTGCTGGCATGGACGAGTGCACCGCCATGGTCAACGCGACGGTGGAGCACATGTACAAAAACGCCGAGTCATCCCAGGCGTTTCTGATCAACCTGGCGGCGTTGTGCGGCGCAAAGATGCTCATGAACAACCGCCCCAGGTGCTACCGGGTCGAGACCTCGGAGGGCGTGTATACCTATTATTTTGACTGGCAGTATCGGTTTGGCCACCTCAAGGGGCAGTTCACTATGACTCATAGCGTTCCAGTTACGATGTGGAAGAGGCCGGAGCCAGGGGCGTCTGGTGAAGCGTCGCAGGAAGGTGGTCCGCCGGCCGGGAATCTGACATCGGAGCAGTGGCAGGCCAAGTATGGCGCTCTCATGGACGAGCTGGAGAAGCGTGACCGGGAGCTCTTTGAGATGCAGAACAAGGTGATGGCTTCGATGAAGAGAGACACCTGAACGGACCCACACGATACCTATTTGCTTTTGATCTTTTCATATCTTTCTCATTTTCATTTTCATTTTCATTTCTTTCATTTCATGTTATTCATATTTCTCATTTGGCGAGGCATCCCGGCGCCCTTTTTGCATAATACGGAGGGGGAAAACGGAAACTGGGTAATGAGACTTTGGGGGTTTATACATACATGGGTACACAATTGGCGATAGCATGGAAGGATGGAACCTCCTTATCCAAGGCATATTCAAGCCGGGAGCTGTTGGTCAGCCTTTGCACAGTGGCGTTGTGACCGCGATCATTTGGTCATGTTTTGATATCAGCTGTATTAAGGTGCTCCTGGTATAGGTAGCTGAGAAATGACGAGAGGCTTTTGGTAGGCCCCGTTGGACTTGTTTGACTCTTGCGTCTAGATACGCATGTTGCTTTGTGGAGTGACTGGAATGTGATGGGAGCCGTGTTTGCCGCCTTTGGATGTTGTTTGCTCGTGAGGTTTGCAGAGGGGAGCGTTGGAGGAGGGAAAGTGAGTGAGGTTGGAGAAAGTGTTGGGTTATGTTCCGGATACCTGCTTTTGGACTGTGCGAGTGGGCGGCGGATTAGTATGAGTACTCGTACACTGGTACAGTCCGGCCGGTGATGTGACATGGAGTGATGCTGATTATGATTGGAAGCAGCTTTTCAGAACCCCGGCATGAAGGTTTTCCTGTGCTGCCAATACGCCAAGGCTAAGCGGTAGTACAAAACGGTTGATATCCATTCAATCAACGAAATGAGATTTTTCTTTGTTTTCAAGTAAGGGGGGTTTGATGGACTGTGCTTTGCTTTATGTCACTTTTAAGATTAAGGTTCGATAGCACAACTGCAGTGTCATGGAGCTGTCAGATATTAAGCCACACACGGGTTTTGGATGATGCTCCGGAAACGATGAGTGTTGCGGGTGGTGAGAAGCTCTGCTTAGCGTTTTCGATGACGGTTTCTCGTCATTTTCCTCAAATGGATTTTTACCTGCTCATTCCGGCATCTGGAGAGACAACCATGAGGTGTTGGGCCATGCGGTAGGGTTGCAGCTGTACAGATTGATTGCAACGCTCGCTCCAGTGGTCTGGTCTGGTATGGTCTGGTCAGTGCCCGCGCGCTTCCACTTACAGTACCTGACCTTGCAGGCACAGGCCATGAATTCAAGTGCTGTTAGCGGCCACCAACCACTGTTGAACGCCATAGTGCATCAATCCACCACTTCATACAGTGCACACCAACCGGCCCCTGGGAGGCGCAAACTGGGCGCTGTGAGTGGCTGCGGGCGCCTTGCGGGCGAGGGCAGTTGTGGAGCAGCGACACCCGGTTTTGTGAGACGGGCCCCCGCAAAAAAGCAGCCCAGTTTGACGACTTGCTCCGAGACTTTTGGGGTTTGCTCTGTGCTCTTTTTTTCTTCTTTAGGGAGCGGCCTGTCGCGTGCTGGTTCCACGTGTTTTGGCTGAGCCTATTGTTCTCTTTTCGGAGACGCCGAGAAGCCTCCCTTTGCTTTCCTCTACTATTTCCATTTCTTATTCTTTGCGTCAACGACATTGGACATGATGAGGGACGGATATGACACAGATCCTTGTCTTCCGACGGACGGCGTCAGAGTGAGCAACGTCTCCTGCTTGTACAAGTACGAGTAATACAGCACAGTACAGCAGATTACAGCATTAGTTATTACTACTGGGCCAAGGGCAGCGCAGCAAATCCTTCCAATTCGCTCCAGAATCCAAAGCCCTCGCCATCCCTGCTAGCGGCCCATGGATCCATCCATCCCCATGCGATCCCCCCAGCCTGGACCATGCCACTGCTCACTAACCTGAAGCCTCACTGTGTGGCATTTGCTTCCTCTGGGCTTCCTTCTTCTTTTTTCGCCTCCCGGCGTGTTGCTGCTCTGATCGCTCTGGCGCCACTGCTTCAGCGGTTTGGCCCGGATTCTTTTCTTAGCCTCGTTCGACAAGCCCTCTCTCCCCCCCTCTGCTCCAGACCTGAGCCAGAATCAGAACTCATCCCGCTCAATCATTTATAACCTCCACTAACCTATTGATACTTCTGTACGGAGTACGGAGCACTGGACTGACTGTATTGGCGCTCCACCGGCTTCCTGGAAGCTTCTCCACGTCCAAGGAAACAAAAAGCGAGCGGCCTGGTGGACCAGAACCGGACCGGACCAGACCAGAACAGACCCCAAACTGGCTTTTCTGTTACGCGCAGAGAGTTGATTTCGTCCGGCTAGCCGTTTGTACTTGCATTACTCCCGTTTTCCTCCAGCTCTTTCGCTCATCTTTCTCCATCCCTTTCTTCGAGTCTCGTTTGATCTCGAATCAAAGCCAGACCCCCGGGCCGATTTCCCAGCCTGCACGCACTACTCACCACTCGCTGCGACGTATCGTATCCGCTCCCCGTCTCCGCCCTCTGCAATCGCAGCACGAGCGAGAGATTGCCAGAGGGGGATCGGGAAGATCCCCACATCTTTTGTGTGTGTTGACGCTTCCCCGGATTTGCTCGTGGTCCATCACCGCCATGTCATCATCGTCGCAAAGCCGGGTCGACGAGATTACCATGTATGAGGCCCTCCCCAACTCCGACCCAGACATGCTTTGTCTTGTTCTTGTTCTTGTTGCTGTTGATGGTGATGAGATGACGACACAATACCACTAGCTGTGTCTTTTTTTTTTTTTTTTTTTTTTTTTGGTCTTGGATTGCCGTGCTGACCGCATCTCCCGCCCGCAGCGCCTCGAATGAGTATCATGTCTCGTCGTCCTTCTCGGCCGAGGCTGGAGACCGCCGCAAGTCGCAGTGTGTCAACCTCAATTCCAACACAGAGGCAAAGTAAGTAGTGTTTCTCCTGCCCGTGTCTCCCCACGTGGTGACGCCCCTCTATTCGTTCATCCCGGAGCGCATCTAATTGCCGATCCCCTTTTCCGTGTCTTAGAATCAAGAACCCACTCGTCGGCATCCCCCGACGAACTCTGCTGGCCGACGTGGACGAATTCTGCCGCACTAAGAACCTGGAGGACCATCGCGACATCATCCGCAAGGGCGCGCTGGTGGCACAGGATCCCACTGGCTACGAGGACATCACCGGCGCTGAGGCTCTGAGCCCGGGCGAGATCGAGGCCCTCCGGAACGAGGTTCTGCACAAGTGGCGAGTTCCCTGGACGCTGCTCTTGACCGTCGTGACATGCTCTGTCGGAGCCGCTGTCCAGGGCTGGGACCAGACCGGATCCAACGGCGCCAACCTCGACTTTCCGCGGGCGTATGGCATCGACTCGGAGAGCATCCAAGACAAGCTCATCGTCGGCCTGGTCAATGCCGCGCCCTACATCGGCACATCGTTTGTCGGCTGCTGGCTGTCGGATCCCTTGAACTATCACTTTGGTCGCCGCGGCGCCATTTTTGTAGCTGCCAACTTTTGCCTCTGGCCGGTGCTGGCGAGCGCATTCTGCAATACGTGGCCCAGGCTGTTGATATGTCGCCTGTTTATGGGAGTTGGAATGGGCGCAAAAGCGTCTACTGGTGAGTTGCCCCTCACAGTCTCGATCAGGCTGGCCAAACCACACACTCTGGTGGATTCAATATATTAACTTTATTCAATATACAGTGCCCATCTTTGCGGCAGAAAACTCGCCGGCCCCTATCCGAGGCGCCCTCGTCATGAGCTGGCAGCTGTGGAATGCATTTGGCATCTTCCTCGGGACGTGCGCCAACCTCGCCGTCAGAGGTATTGGCGCCGAAGCGTGGAGATATCAGCTGGGATCGGCCTTTATCCCAGCTGTGCCACTCGTCTTCCTCATCTACTTTTGTCCCGAGTCGCCGCGATGGTATATCAAGAAGAATAGATACAGAGATGCCATGCGATCCTTGCTCCGCCTCCGGAACAACCCTGTCCAGGCTGGCCGTGATATCTACTACATACACGTCCAGCTCGAAGTCGAAGCCGAGTTTATGGGCAATGGCAACTACATCCGCCGCTTCATAGAACTCTTCACCATCCCCAGAGTCCGCCGCGCAACCTTGGCAGCCTTTACGGTCATGATTGCACAGCAAATGTGCGGCATCAACATCATGGCCTTTTACTCGTCTACGGTTTTTCAAGACGCCGGAGCGAGCTCCTTTGGGGCGCTCTTGGCCTCATGGGGGTTTGGCCTGGTCAACTTTTTGTTTGCCTTTCCCGCCGTGTGGACGATTGATACCTTTGGCCGGCGATCTCTGCTCCTCTTTACCTTTCCGCAGATGGCCTGGACGCTGCTGGCGGCAGGGCTGTGCAACCTGATACCCGGGCAGGGTGGCCTTCATCTGGGCTTCGTTGCCTTCTTCATTTACCTATTCGCTGCCTTTTATTCGCCCGGCGAAGGCCCCGTCCCGTTTACGTACGCGGCTGAGGTCTTTCCCTTGTCTCACCGTGAGGTCGGTATGGCATTTGCTGTGGCGACCTGTTTGTTCTGGGCAGCCGTGCTGTCCATTACCTTTCCCTTGATGCTCGCCAGATTAGGCGTCATGGGTTCATTTGGGCTATATGCGCTCTTTAACATTCTTGCATTAATCATGATTTTCCTTTGGCTTCCAGAGACGAAGCAACGAACGCTGGAAGAGCTGGATTACATCTTCGCGGTGCCTACTCGGGTGTTTATGAAGTACCAAGTGACCAAGACGCTGCCATGGTGGTGGAAGCGATGGATCCTTCTTCAGAAAAACGCGACACTCGAACCCTTGTACACACTGGATGTGGCCGATCACGTCGACACCGACGATGGCGAGGACAAGTTTGAGAATGACAAGGCCAAGGTCGAGCTGAAAGATATTGTTGGCTTTACACCGTCGGCTGTAAACACCACGACCGCTCTCCCCTGAAGCGGCAGCATAATTTTTTTGGCTTCTTTTTGCTTTTGAGACTTTTTGATAATTTCCCCGTCTTCCCGATATGCGATTTTCAGATGGCGTTTTTACCGGTTAATATTGGGCGTTGACTTGTGTTTGGGTTTTGATTAGCGGGCGCGTGTTCATTTTCTTCAACTCATGATACCACGGAAAGAAAAAGACGGGATTGGGACGACTACGGCGCATGTGGGAAGCGATACCCCAGTCTATGTGTTTTGAAAGCTTTTGGCATTTTAGTGCTGAAGCACTGTTTGGATGGCGTCAAATATTGGGCAACTCTATTGTTTATTATCTTCATGATGAGCGGATTGAGAGCTGAAGGATATGAAGACGATGAGCATTGGTTTACTTGAAGATTGTATGTACACATTATGACATTTTACCCGAGACTAGATGCCACATATATACTACCTAGTAGTAGCATATGAAGAATGAACAGCACAGATAATACCTGTGCCATTTTGTACAATCTTTTACTTTAGTTTACTTGTTCTGTAGCCGTGCGTCATCTATGTACATCTACAATAACAGTAATGGATCCCACCCATTTAGAGCTCTTATCTCTCCCAGGAAGGGAAAGCTCTGCGAAAAAAAGCCCCAATCTCGTGCATCTGCTTTCTCCGCAGGGGAACTCGACGGTGATTCGACGGCTGCGGCGGTGCGATCGGGATCTTGGAGGATTGCTGGTCGGGTATTTTGGGCGAAAGAAATATGTCGCATCTGTCCCGGCTTCCCGGGGTGGAGCTGAGGAGCTGAGGGGAGGTGATGATATATACGATTTATATATAGTACGGGTAGTTGGGAAGAATGTCGTAGTTGACCCACTGCTACTATCTGTTTTGTTACTATGGCTGTGAGGGTTGTAAAGGGAAAAGGGAATCTCGAGGCTCGTATCTATGTCTTCTACATTCGGGGCTTTGGGAAAGCTACAGTTAGTTAATGCGATGTTTGTCCCTTTCAATGCCTCATTTGATGGAGGCGGTGGGCGGGAATCGCGGGTTCAGCTCCATGATTTACCAGGTTGCACGACGATTCCGATGATATCATAAAGGACACATCATTATTACCTTCAGACAAAAAAGGCAGCCTCGGCAATCTCTCTCTGTGAGGGGCCAGCACGACCGTCATCTGCACTCATTTTTCCTCTATTCAGCTTTTGATGCGCGGCGTTATGACGAGTGCGGATTGGATCGACGGCAGGGGTACTGCACCAAAAAGAGAGCTGATGGGGCGATCCCTTTATCCATCTGAGTCGATTGGAAAATGTGTTTTGTGATCGGAAAACGGGGGACCACAGAGGATGAGGGTCGCAGGGCTGTGATTGGACCGGTTTGAGTGAGCGATACGAGAAATAAACACAAAGGACGATGAGGATGCATGGTGAAGGGTGCAGCTGCAGATGCAATATGCCGAGGAGCCCATGTTGGGTTTGGGGATCTGCCTTTCTCCCCGCTTTTGGAGGAGGCGGGAAGTGGGCAGAAGATGCGTGGCGATGGAGGTGTTTGTTTTCGCCTGGTGTTAATTTACTCGGAATTATTGATCCCAGATCGTACTGCGGAGGAGGGGGAACGTGGTTCTTGAGATTGCAGATAAAAATCATCGTATAAGCATAGAGCTGTGAGTCATACCTCGAGATCTATGCAAGGAACGGGCGCCCCGGACTGTTATTTGATTGTCGTTATGCGCTCCGTTTTACATAGAGCGATAAATGGGACGAGCATGATGCCGTCGAGATGGTGTTTATGCACGTTGACTTGTCATCAATAAGTGTCGTCCAAGTTGGTGTGCTCTAGCGGGATGGGCGCAACAAGGGCGCAATTTTAGGCGGACGGCGGGAATGGCAGAGACGATCAGCCCTTTGTTTTGGAATGGACGAGAAACACATCCAGTGGACTAAAGTGAGTACGAGATAGCGGTGGCGTTGAGGGTGTCTGGATAACGAACGTCCCGTTGCCGGCTGATATGGAGGCGTTGTCTTGTCTCGGGCCGTGTCTTGCATGATTCAGTTAGAAAGAGAAAGGAACAAAAAAAAAAAAAAAAAAAAAAAAAAAGAGGCGTCGTTCAACGTCTCTGGTGCAGACACATGTCAACTCGGTTGAACAAGGTTTTGGCCGCCGTTTTGTCTTGCGAGTGTAGCGCCAGAAGAGGAGTTTAAGGGGGTGCAAGATGTTTTGCGACTCGTTGTTAGCTCAACGTCTGGACAATGCCATGCTTGGCTTTAGCAGCCCTGGTGATGGATACAACCCCGTTGCGTTGGTGGAGGCGTCGACATGTCACGGAATAAATACATGTGAAAAGGTACTTTGTGCGTTACAGACAAACAGATAACAAGACAAAAGCAACTTGACAACTTATCGCCGTCATGACGGGCGAGGCGAACAGAATAGGGGAAACCAATAGAGGACTTCTAAAGGCCAAAAAAGGAAAATGAGAGTTGGGCATTCTTGAAAAATAGCACCGCATGCAGTCGCAACTTCGTATAGGCCGTCACATCTCATTAAAGCAGCGTCTCGTTAGATCGTAGCATTCGGCTTTCTTTTTTGCTCTGCGATTTTTTTGCGAAATGCCACGGTCCGTGAGTCCATGACAAGCAGCTCCACCTTTGGCTGACGGGACCCCATCCGAGTCCAATTTTCCAATCCGGCACCTTCATTAGTCAAGAGATCCATTTTGCAAAGAGTAGCTGAAGAGGAGCGATAAGAGACAGATGGGAAAACAAAAAGCGTCGCGTGGCCTGTGGTTCGTTCCCACTGTACAGCCTCTCTGTGTGGCAGGGGTTGTGACAGGCTTTGTGAGACGAGGGAAGAGAATGAGAGAGAGACGAGGGGGAGCCCCTGCTGGTGGACGGATAAACTGCCGGGCTTGGAAACCAGAGGAAAAGAAGAAGAAAAAAGTAATAATGTGGAAAAGCGGAGAAAGAAAGAAGAGGAAGGGTTTGAAGCTGATTCCATCCAGTGTGACGTGAGCAAGTTGAGATGAATGTCTCAAAGTTCCATGCAGAGACTGACTGGAGCTTCCAAGTTTTTTACTCCTGATAATAGCAGATGTCACTGTTACAGGCGCTGTATTGCCAAGTTTGCGTCCTGTACCACTACGAGTACAGGTTTAGCACGCACTCATGCGCAGGTATTCGGTACCTCCATGTGCGCCACGCGTGCCGTCCTGCAGCCACCACCACTAGTACATGTACCTGTTCCTGGGCCACTGCAGCTGGCCAGGGCTTCAACTGGCCCCCGTAGCTTAGCGGCTGCTCCACTGTGGCCGCCTCGTATGCGGTACCTGGCACGCCTGTGCTCCGCTGCCCAGCGCCCTAGGTACCGCCACCAGCCACTAACAGCACTTCCGCGCGACCTGCAGGTGGTACCGGATACCTGCAGCGCCGCATCCTCCTGCGGGCGCCCGCTTGTACCTGCAACCTGTGCCGATCGCCCCTTTCATCGGGCCTGCCACGGTCCAGTGAGATCGAGCAAAACCTCCAGCTTGTTTCACCAGTCACTACTCACCAGTTTCTTCCTTTCCTTCTTCTTCGTCGTCTTGAGATCGCCTGTTTTTGCAGCTCGATTCCGTCTATCCCTCTCCACATTTCTACTCCCCTCCCTTCCACTCGTTTGGATTGATTTTTCTTTCCCAACTGACCGGGTCTTCCCTCGTTCTCCTGGTTCACTCATTTTTTTTTATATATCCTGAAACGCCCCTAGTGTTCTCGGTACTATTTTGCCTAGCCTCCAATCACCTTTTACTACTCCTTCTCCCATCTCCTCGACAGTCCTGTGAAGGCTTCTTCCTCCTCTTCCTCTTCCTCTTCCTCCTCTTTTTTCATTATCACGCTCGTGTTTGTTCTGTTTTCCCGTTGTGGATTATCACTCGCTTCGCCCATCCCAGTCATTGGCACGGGCCTTGTTTTGACGTCGGCACTGCATTGCGTACTCGACATCCTCGACGACTACCTACTACCTAAGCTAGTGCTTCCTCGTTTGCCATCTGCCCAATTGTGCATTTTTCCTGCAAGCTCGATTCATCTGGAGCCGGTCTTCAGCGACTTCTGCATCCGCGGTGTCTGAAACATCGCCTTCGCCGGTTCTTTTTATGCCCCTGCAGTGGCATTGATTGTTGGTTCATATTGGGTGGTAGCGCAGCAACTTTGGGCGCCATTGACTAGATTCGTCGTGCTGTGTGGATATCCTCAGCTTTAAGCACGGCACCTAGGCTATCCTTGCAATCTTCACAAGAACGAATAACCTTAGCTTTTCAAAGCCTTGAAGCTGTCAATTCGAAACATTTGCTGCCTAATTATAGCAAGCATCGATTATACTTGATTTATAAAACGCTGTGCGCTGCCCTTTCATCCCTAGGCGTGCACCTGTTGCGGAGTAGGGGAAGTTCACATGGCGCATCGTCAAGCCTCTCGCGCCTCACGAAGCTCTGCTGGATTCATCCCTCTTGACGGAGGCGATCTTCGCGAAATGGACAACGGCAGCATCCCCCTCAACCCCTTGACGACGGTCAAGAGCAACGCGTCGACCACGGGGGCCAGGAAGCCCATGGCAGGCTCCCACAGCCATGATGAGCACAACGAGAAGCATGGCATGCACCACCGCCATGCCGGTCGTCGGCGCAAGATGGACGACGAGAGCCTCAAGCGCAGGCAGACGGGCGACGAGGTCAGCCTCAACGCTATGGGTCGGCTCTATGCCAAGATCGTCGGCTTCTCAGTCATCACGCGGTACATGGTCTACGTCGTGCCCGTTGGCATCCTGCTGGCCGTCCCGCTCATTGTGCTCCCTCTGACCGGCCACAAGAATGACATCTACCTAGGCAGCCACGGCAAGGCTGTCGGCCCTCCCTTGTTCAAGCTCTTCTTGTGGATTCAAATCTCCTGGCTGTCTCTTTGGGGCGTCAAGGTGGCCGCCTGGTTTCTCCCTCACGCCTTCATGTTCTTCTGTGGTATCGTCAGTGCTGGCACTCGCAAGTAC